GATGACTGAACGGCAGAAGATGAGTCTAAATACTAAATGATAAAGATCTTTCACCCACTAAAGCTAAATTAGTTTGCCAGGTACAATCAATAAGTGGTTTAAATGTATGTATAGCATGATGCAATATGTTTTTCTCCTTCAGAATTTTATTTGTACGTGTCATCTATCCTGCTTTAGGTTTTTATACATGTGCAATTAGCAGGGAAAAAAGGGCAGTCTGGTGCCAACACCTAAATCTCTAATGTATATGTTACATGATTAAATCTGATGATTTCTCTTCAAACATACAGAAATATATTAGGATTATTTGTTACAAAACTCATTTTTTGCAATAGACACTAATCAATCAGTCCACTTTAGCAGTTTCTCCAGACTTTACATTTAGCCTGGTTATTAGTTGGTCTTCTGTAGAATTAGTCTAGTAAGAAAGAGAAGTTGTGTTAGTATCAATTACTTTACATTATACCGCAAGTATACATCAACAACTCCCATCTCTTGCTGTAAACCTGTTTACTAACCTGTAAGTACGAAGCCAAGCCAAACGACAGAAAAACATACAAATTCATTTAAATATATGATGCAACTTTATCACATTTGCACAAGCAGGAAACACTGCACTAAGTGAACAACTCCTTAAAAAAGAAAACAACGAAAGCAAGGGCATAACACTCTAGAAGCACTCGTGATTCTGAAGCATTAACGATACATCGAACAGACGTATTTCTCACAGCGTAGTCTCCTTCTTTACGGGGCCGTGTGGGGTCTCTAGATGGCAGCCTATTGGGTACGCGATGCGTTCCTTGCGCCAGGCCCTCCTTGGTGTCACCATAGCGGATTTCACACTCGTACGTAGTCATGATGGGTAGCACTAGTCAAGGGAAGACCTTAACAGTAAATATCCTCAAATTAAGACTACTAAAACAGTCGATTTCGACAATACTTAGCTTTGAAACGAAGCCGAACTTTATTAAGAGCGGCATTCCCCTTGTATTCCTTACCTGTAACATATTTCACGGTTTCGTTTTCCCAAACAAGATGCCACACTAAGCCTTGTTTACTTAAGCATTTATCTCAACTGACCTTACTTCTTAGTAAACACGGGTGTGATTCAAAAGGACATTTGCTGTAACAGGAAGATAAAGTACATCAGTCTCTGTAGCTATTTCCACATGATATCCCACGTGACCTAAGCCACTATCTCCGACCTCGCCTACTGCCCCAGCAAATATCTTCACATCCAGAACAGATAACATACGTTGGGTTTCTGATTGTAGATTAATAACGAGATAAAAGAGACAAGGGTTACCAGTCCAGGTTGACAGGCAAGCCAGTCGATAGTGGTGGCTGCTTTATCTTGCAACGACAACTATCAATGCCGATGTTTTTCAGTATTACACTATGAACGTAAGTGCAGCCTTCCTTTAGCACCCCAAAAGACACCTGTAGAGGCTGCAGCTCTAAGCCTCAAAGATTCTCGACTTTCTGCTGATCACCACCAGTCACACACTGTGTGTACACCACGACGCACGGGGTCCTCGATTTTATAGATCTAAAATTTGATTGGAAAAAATAACAGATAATGATCAGAACTTAACATCAATATAAAGAGAGACTGCGTTAACTTCAAGTACCCAGCAATTCGTCACACAAATATTTCTCTAGTATAGAGTAAACTATGATCGTGAAGAAATGAAAAATATAACCTTTCTCGCTCTCCCCGTAAGGTACTAGGCAGTTACAACAAACTGCACATTCCAACAACGCACCGCTCTCACTTCACTAATGTCTGGTTTAAGTAACCCTATGGTTTGACAGAGGAGAGAACATTTTGGCTACGAGTTTATTCATTCAAATTTGCGCAACAGGTGTCAATTGCAGAAACGCACCTGGCTGTTGGGAAGAGCTCCAGGTTTAGAACTCTTTATACAGCTGGGAAGTTTAACTTTATCTTTCTTAGTTTCTCCGGTAACATCGAGTTACAAACTTCCGGGACCGACGTGCGGCATTTCAGCTGTCAAGAGATAATTGATCCATTCATATAACGTTCTTACCCGATTAAAAAAAAGTAATTTACTTGAAAACAAAAGCGAATTAAGTAAGTTTCTGGATTCTTTACAAGAAGTGACACTATACATACACAATTAACAGGAGTCGCACCACTCAGTTCAGAGAACACAAGTATGGATGAGTATGTATGTATGGTATGAATAGCACAGCACATCACAGCACAGCACAACACTGCATTGCAATGCATGACATGATAAACTGTTGCAATAGAGCCCCACCTGAAACAATTAGACCGTTTTCATAGCCATCTGGGTCCTCTAGTTCGGTGAGGCCTTCCAATCTCTCCTCTTGTGACGAGGGGGACTCTCCACTGTGGGGAGTCCCCCTGGAGAGAGGAATCTTGGAAAAGAGGCTCAGAGGCCTGGAGAGGTGTTGGATTACTGGGACGAGGATTAGCAGTCGTTAAGGCCTGTCGTGTAGTCGTGAAGGGGTAGGATTAGTTGGACGGACAGTGGTGGGGGTGTCCTTACCAGTAGCAAGCGCAGGAGTGGGGTTAGTAGGCCTTATGCCGTTTGGTGTGGCACTTGGTTCTCTCGCTGGATGTGAGGAAAGCTCTCGACTTGTTGTGGGGAGAACAACATCAGGGCTAGAAGCAATTTCGCTTCCTTCATCTGTGGTAAGAGTCAGGGATAATAATAGGTCATCAGTTTCATGTGACTGAAGTACTTCGACCAAAAGAACAAAATAGAAAACAGTTTACAGAAAACTACATGTGCGACAATCCAAAGCACATTTGAAAGTTACAGACTCGTACAATAATCCGAAGAAGTAACAAAGGAAAGCAAATAAACCACAACGGTGGAGAGATAATCGAGTACATCATACCTGTGCAGTAAGACGTGGCGCTTTCCTCGTGCACAACTGTTTCTGGTGTTTCAGCGGGGCTACTTTCTCCAGGGGGTGGACGACGTGCTTGATTTGCTAATTCTGAATTTCAAGCTCCCATATCCGGGACCTTTGGACTGTGAATACCTTTCAGAAACTCTTGCCCTGACATAAAAACAGATGCCACTTCTATTAACACTACGATTGAAATCATTTTACAAGCTGATAATGACTCCATTTTTTCTACATGCACTAACTCATTGACAGCCTCATACCTGATCTCGTCACGAAATAGGGAGGAACTTCTCTGTATCTTAAGGTATGTTTCCCATAATCCAGCTTGGCCAGTTCTATTTGGTCCCGCTCCCACTCTGACAAAGCTCAGAGTTGATAGTTTCCAGACAGACCCTGTCGTCTAAGTGCAAATGTAAAAATGCACAAAAAACAAAATATGGCTTAAAAGTAACATGTTAAGCACCTCCTTTCTAGGGGGGACGAAAACAAACACTACGGGAAATCGTAACAAACTTCAAGTATGCGTCTTTTCAAGCGATTATACAGCAGAAAAGGCCTTCTTAAAAGACACTCTCACCTTCAGATCGGGTAGTATCGAAATCACCTACACCTTATTGGTTCCCTAAGCAACACCAAGGACCGATAGAAATAACGGAAACTCGATTCTCAAGCCTAACGATCTACGTATAAAAGATCACAGAAGTAATTTCCACTCGGGAACGGAATTGAGTTTAAAACGCCACTCTTCCTTTCCCTGAAAGACTTTGCTATTGCAACACCATCTTCAAACAACAGCTGAAGAGATTTGTGAAGAGTTGAAACCGTCGGTACTGTTGTAGCTATTATAAACAATTGCACCCATGTCTGCCTTTGACAACTCTCTAGTGGAATACCTTACACCAATTCTTAGTGAAGTAGACGAAAACGGTATCTCACCACCAAAGACGCTAGACTATCTTCGCAATGACGTAAACTTAAACCATGAAATAAATGCCTTGAACGAAGAGAATGATGACGAAAACAGCCTTCCACTATCACAACCAAGACCGACACGATAAAATCCGACCCCGTCAAAAAGGAAACAAGAGAGCAGCCCACTAAAACAAGACCTTTTAAAGCGAGGTTTAAAGAGAAAATGCAAAGATCCTAATGCTGTGGAGGCTAAAATACCCAAAACTGAACAATTTATCAAAAAACTTGAGAAATGTTGAGAAAATTGGACTCGTCCGATCTCTTTGCAATATTCGGCGAAGCCAAACATCACGCCGGACATAATCTACGATAGAGAAGTAAAAGAAATAAAACAACAAGCTCAAGCTAGCTTTCACAGAAGAGGGCTAGAGAGCCAAAGAAAAAGGGTTAACTACGAACTCTCAGCTCGTAAGAACAAACACGTAAATAGGCAACTGCTCAAAGGAAAGCGCTCGTTATAAAATTCAGTGATAAAATAGCCAAATTAAGGAATGAGATTCCTGACCTTAAAGAGCTTATTCATACACTTACAAATAAAAGAGATGAAAAATATAAGTTTGTTTGTTAGGCAGTATACTATCTAGATTGACGAAGAATAAATACATGGGCAACCATTAATCACACCCCAGAGCGCACGTTGGTACCGAAACTTTAGAATGTGATGTAACCATGCGCGAGTAACGCAACGGTGACATGACATTCCCCCTTGTCAAAAAAAAATTATATATACAAATACAAACAAATAATGTCTGTAACGTCCAAAACAAAATTAATGTGACCCATTGTTCAATAATAAAAAGATAAAAACATGAACAAGAAGAAAAATGTTCCATAAGCGAGGCACTGAGGATATGGAGTGCTCTTGTGAGGTTGTACTATGT